GACACCCCAATTTTGGGTCATAGATTTCTGCTCCCCCACTTCTCCCGTGTCCCAGGCGGGCCCCAGCCCGGCCCATGGGGTCTGTCCGGCGGCCGCTCGGGTTGGACGAATCCCGTCTTTGTGTCTCGCCAACTTTCCCCCCAACGTTCATTCAGCCAGGTTCTCATGACACTGCCTGAACTTCTCACTCACCTTCGTTGGCTGAACCCACCACGAGGGGACATTCGGAGGCTCCGTATCACAGCCGCTGGGGTGGGGAGATTTGTGGGGCAGGGGAGAAGGAAGCTCTGGGCATTTATACAGTAGAAAGACAGGGCGGGGAGGTCTAGGGAGAAATGGGGGAGAGAGAAAAGGGGCTGGGGGACCCCGCTGAAGGATGGGGACAGACACTTGGGGAGCTGCAAATGCCATTATTCCAGTGTCAGGGCCAGATGCAGGGGGCTGGCGGCTCTGTCTCAGGACCCTGGAGGGGGGGCTGGGATTCTGCAGGATGGGGTAGGGCCTGGTTCGGGACTGGGTGATGAGCCCTGGTACTGCTGGGGGGATTTAGGGCCAAACACACCTTGACCAGTGAGGCCCTGGATGGACAGGAGACGATTTGGATCGCTGAGGGGGAGGCTGTAAACAGGGGGCGTCTGGTTTAGACTCGATGGGGATCCCCCAGCAGGAGCTGGCTGTGAAGGGGCAGGTGGCAGATGGGTGGGGTGACCGTGGCTGTGAAATGCCGGGTGCCTGGCCCTAAGGAAAGGGAGCGGGCAGAGCAGGAAATCCAGCTGGGAAAGGTTAGTTATCGAGTGCCCGGCCCCACAGTGCCCCGGGCTCCCCACAGACACAGGCGGTGCTCTCCCTGTGATGCTGTATGGAATTTGGGGGACACATTAGAATATTATGAATACCAATATTGTAAAATTGCAATGAGTTATGATATGCCATGTAAGGTATCTGCAAAAATGTTATAATTTGCCAGGTATGATAATCTCGTTTATGTGTTTGTATCACCTTTGTATTGCAAGTTATATGTCTGGTACATCTGTAGTTCCAAACTTGTGCTGGGCATCTGGATGACACCCCCAGATCGCCGGGCATCAGCACTGCCTAGCTTGCTTGACGGCCCATCAAGACTGGATGACCCATCCAAGCTATGGATGGGCTCCAGAGGGACTCTCAAGCCAGCAAACTCACCAACACTGCTAGGAACCTGATCTATGGACTCTGGAGTCTTTGTATATACGGGACTGTTTTACCATTCAACATCTCTCTTCTGTTTTTTTCTTTTCTCTTTGTAATAAACCTTTAGCTTTAGACATTAAAGGAATAATAGAATCATAGAATCATAGAATATCAGGGTTGGAAGGGACCTCAGGAGGTCATCTAGTCCAACCCCCTGCTCAAAGCAGGACTAATCCCCAATTAAATCATCCCAGCCAGGGCTTTGTCAAGCCTCACCTTAAAAACTTCTAAGGAAGGAGATTCCACCACCTCCCTAGGTAACCCATTCCAATGTTTCACCACCCTCCTAGTGAAAAAGTTTTTCCTAATATCCAACCTAAATCTCCCCCACTGCAACTTGAGACCATTACTCCTTGTTCTGTCATCTGCTACCACTGAGAACGGTCTAGAGCCATCCTCTTTGGAACCCCCTTTCAGGTAGTTGAAAGCAGCTATCAAATCCCCTCTCATTTTTCTCTTCCGTAGACTAAACATCCCCAGTTTCCTCAGCCTCTCCTCATAACTCATGTGTTCCAGTCCCCTAATCATTTTTGGACTGGCTGGGAGTCTGGTATTCTGGGTAAGATCCAAACCCACACTGACCTGGTAACGTGGCTGACCCTTTGGGGTCAGAAGAACATTTTGGATAGTGAGCAGAGTCTTTTAAATAACTTGTCACTGTATTGGACCTAGGTGCAGATGGGGCCTTGCCAGGAGAGGACCCCTGAGGGGAGGCTGCGTCCTGCTGCCCTAGGGGGCCGAGCCTCCACTTCCCTGGCCAAGGGGTTGCCCAGGTGGATGAACTTCCCCGAGCCACCTGGCACCCCTGTAGGACCCCTCTGTCCATCCCACAGGTAACTCTGCCCCAGGTATGCAGTGAGCCCATCCCCGGGGTATCTCGGCTCCTGCCAAACACAGCCAGGCAGTGCGTGCGGGGGGATGCTGGGACGTCACCTGCTGCCCCCCATGTCCCAGAGATGCCCAGGGCCCAGCCAGATGCAGCAGAACATCTATAGGGGGGTGGGTCAGGGGTCCCCTGAGATCCCAGTGGGGGGAGGGGAAGCAAGAGCAGAGGGAATTCTGGGTAAAGCTCACTCCTAGTGCCAGGGGGACGTCATGCATCCCAAGAAGCAGGGTTATTGCCCCAGGACTCAGGCGCCCAGCTGGGCTCAACCCCACAGCCAGGTCCCCCAGATACTGCCCTACCCCCCAGTATGCTCCCAGCAGCTTCCGGGCAGTGACCTGCAGGGCAGGAGGCATTTGGGGATCTGGGGGTCAGGTTGCCCCTCCCCCTGGTGTCTGGGCCCATGCACCAGGAGTCACTGCCCCTGTCCCACCCAACCAGCCCCAGCTCCCAAGGGCTGCTCCTTGGGCACCACGAACCTATTTCCAGGGCTTGTTTTATGGTGATTCCCCGGCCCAGGTACCTGGCCTGGCTGGCGCTGTTCCAGGCTGGGTCGGGTTGGTTCCCCCTGCGATCGTCCTGCACCTGCTCAGCCTGGTTTTGAAGGGCTCCTTGCTGCTGTCCAGAGTTCCCGTATCAGGAGTCATGAGCCCTGTGAGCAGGGGCTCCGCCGGGGCTCCCAGGATCACTCTGGGCATGTCAACATCCCCCACAAAAACCTTCTGGTGTGGAAAAAAAGTCTCTGCTTGTCCCTGAAGATGTGTGCATCATGCACCTTCTCGGACCACCCCACGCTGGTGTCAGTGAAATGCCCATGGTGATCCACAGGTGCCTGCAACACCCTGGAGAAGTTCCCTTCCTATTGATGTTCATCTCCCTATCGCAAGATGGTCAGGTCCAGCGTCCACACAGCGATCACCGGGCACTTCTCCACGAGAGGCTGCTCCCATCTGGGTGTCCTTGCGCCGCAGGGCTGGGGCGAGCTCCGCACAGAGGTCCAGGAAGGAGGCTTCCCGCATCCGAACGCGGCTTGTCATTCCAGACCGGGCGACGGGTAACTGCAGATAGTGGGGACGGAGGGGGGGGGCGCAATGACGGGCTCCCCACCACAGCCACGGCCAGCTTCCTGGTGACTGCCAAGGCCCCCTCCAGCAACATCCTCGAGACCACGGCACCTGGGTGGTCGCCCACCTCGCCCACACTTAAGACCAGCCCTGTCAGGGTCGTCCTTAGGGAAAATGGTGCCCTAGGTGAACTTGTATTTTGGCACCTTGGCCCCTGCTGCCTCCCCCAGCCCCCGCCCCATATCGCCCCAGCTCCCGCTGCCTCCCCCCTCTTGCCCCGACTCCCTGAGCTCCCCCTTATGTGCACCCAGGCAGGCTAGTCCAGACCCGCACTTGAGCAGGTACATACATTTCCCTGCTGGTTTACTACTTAGTTCACCAGAACTGTGTCACCCGTGAAGAGGAGCTATTCTCACGGGGACCATGCGGCTGCCGGGCGAGGAAGGGATGGGACTCAGCCGGCTTCCCCGCGCCCCCTCCGGCAGAGAGCTGCGCTGACAGCCCGGTCTCACTTCCCGGCTCTGGGCCACACCGAGTGGGTCTCAGCGGCAGGACCCGCTGCTGGTGCCTTTCCCATGCACAGGCCAACTCGCACCCTGGCAGAAATCGGGGGGGGGGGCATGTGACCCGTGTACCCCCACTCCACATCACCTGTCCCAGACCTGCATAACAATGTGATCCCACCACTCAGCGCTCGTTTCCCGAGTCCCAAAGCGACGCTCCGCCGTGTGCAGCCGCCCCGTGGTGCCAGAAGGAAGCTGGTGCTGTTTCTTTCCCTGGCACCCAGCCTCTCGGGCAGCTCTGATCCCTGTTCAGACTGGGAGCTCGTGACATACTGCCTGACCAGCCGCGCTGCGTTCACAGCAGTGGAGAGCCGGGCGGGATCCATCCTTTCGCACAGGGGTGGCGGGCGCCCCGGGAACAGGGGCCGTTGGAAAATGCCGCGAAACGCAGTCGGAACAGCGTGGGACGCTGGGAGAGAAAATAAGGCACCATGGGACCTTGAGCCGCCCCCATGACGCGCTGCGATCCACCCCGCCTGCCCACAAGTCCTAGCTGCAGAAGGTGCCGAGGAGCACGGTGGGACAGCTACCCACAATGCACTGCTCTCGCTGTGGACGATGGCACACCAAAGGCGGACACGCTCTGCCGGCAGAGGAAGCGCAGTGGGAACGTGCAATAGCGATGTCATCGTGTCTCTGTAGTGTAGACACGGCCCAACGCCAGAGGAGCGAAGTTCTGGAGCAGCCTCCCAAGGGACCTCACTGGCTTCAAGACTGAGCTTGAGACGTTTCTGGAGGGGACGGGATGAGGAGACATCCCACAACGGCAGGGAGCCGATCCGCGACTGCTAGCAGCAAATCTCTCCAACGGCCGGAGACGGGACACCCGCTGGGGAGGGCTCTGAGTGACGACAGAGGATCCGTTCCCAGGTGTCTGGCTGGAGGGTCTTGCCCACATGCTCAGGGTCTAACCCGTTGCTGTATCTGGGGTCAGGAGCGAATTTCCCCCCTGGGTCAGACTGGCAGAGACCCTGGGGGGGTTCACCTTCGTCTGTGGCCTGGGGCGTGGGGCACTGGCAGGTTTCAACTCGTGTCAGTGGTGGATTCTCTGGAACTCGAAGTCTGTAGCCCTCGATCTGAGGACGTCAGTGACTCAGCCGGAGGCGAGGGGCCTGCTACAGGAGTGGGCGGGGGAGGCTCTGTGGCCTGCGATGTGCAGCAGCTCACACCAGATGATCACAATGGACCCTTCTGGCCTTAAAGTCAGTGAGTCTGTTGCCCCCTGGGGGCCGGCGCCCCATGGCTGTGGGGGGCTCTCACTGCAAGGCCCCCTGGCTCACGCTGATCATGGCGTACATGCTGGGCTGGGTGGGCTCAGGGGCAGGAGCCGGGCCCCCCGGCTTGGCATGCAGCGCCTGGCTGTCCAGCTCGGCGTAGGTGAGACCATCGGTGCCAGGGTCGGGCTCCTGGGGCTGGGAGGGGAGAGAGTCACTGGAGTGTGCGTGTGTGCACCAACCCCCCCCCACACACACACACATTCACACAGAGCAGGGCTTGTCCCCTCCAACAGGGGGTGACAGGGACACACACACACACACTTGCAATCCCAGCTGGTGATCCCATGAGCCCCTCCCAGCAACCGAACCCCCACCCCAAAATACTGAGTGTGCCAGACAAGGTGAGTAGGGCCCGTGTGGGTCAAGGTTGCTGGGTCAGGCCCCATGGGGGAAGAGGGGACACTTACCAGGGTCTGTGTCTCTTTCCCTTCGTCGACGGAGGAGTCTGCAAAACAGAGAAACCCGCTGAGCTGCACCCCCAGCCGGCCCAGAGCAGGACCCCACACCCAGCTCCGACCCCCTATGTCCAGCCAGGGGGCTAGAGACCGGCACAGCCACCCCTCCCCCGCCCCACAGCATGGGCCATGGTCATTAGCCCCATGTTACAGAGAGGAAAACTGAGGCACAGAGACGGCAGCAGAGTCTAGGGGGTTATGGCAGGAAGGGGGCTGGGAGTCAGGACTCCTGGGTTCTCTCCCTGGCTCTGGGAGGGGAGTAGGGTCTAGTGGTTAGAGCAGGGGGCTGGGAGCCAGGAATGGATGGGGATTCCCCACAGGTCACTGGCTGGGAAGGTCTAATGGAGAAGTGAAGGGGGAACCACAAAGCCCCAGGCCTAGGGAGGAGAATGGGGGCTCACAGAGGGAGTCCCTGAACTAGAGGGGGAGGGAAGGGTGACCTCCAGGGAGCTGGTGGGGAGAGAGGCAAGAAGCTCAGCTGACACCAGCTGCCTCTGGGACCCTCTCCTTAGTCCCACCCAGCAGCAGCTGTAAATCAGGCCCTGTCCCGTATGGGTGGAGCCCCCACAAGCCCCACCCCGCCCCAGAGGCCCTGCACCCTGGTACCCCCTTCGGTGTGTTACTCACAGTTGGGGTCTTGCTGAGCCAAGGCCTCCAACTTCCCCAACGAGATAGTGCTAAAAGAGAGAAAATCCACTTGTAAACGTCATATCCCCCACCTGCGGGGAGATTCCCCAACAACCCAGAGAGCCCCCTCATCCTGCCTCACACTGAACCCTATTCCCTAAGGCCCCCCCCCCCGGCCACAACCACTGGACCCCACTCCCCTGTCAGAGCTGGGGACAGAACCCAGGCAGAGGCAAAATGTGGGTGGGGGCATGCAGGATCACATGACCCCCCCCAATTGCTCAGTCACATGGTGCAGCCGGACCCCCTCCCTGAGGAGCAGCTGAGCTGGAGAGCTGCGCTGGACAGGGAGAGTGTGACGAAGTTGGGGGGGTTTCTTTTTTTCCCTTGGTTTTTCCAATGGTTTGCATGCAGAGTAGGTGGGACGCAGTTTCCCTGGGTGTTACTGGTTTCAGGAGGTGATGGGAGAGGGAGTTGGTTGGTACAGGGGACCAGCGATGGAACTGGGGACCTCGGCCAATGGCCTGGAGATTGGAGACCCCAGCGACTGGTGACCGGGAGGCCCAGCTCAGGAGTCACAGCTGGGTCCGGCCAGTGGCAGGACAATGGGCTGTGAAGAGAGGACCCCGGTGACCGGACCAGCCGGTTCCAGCCAGAGGAGGCCAGAGGACAGAAGAGGGGAGAGGGGGCCCAGGCAACCCTGTTTACCTGGAGAGAAGACAATGGAGGTGTGTGGGGGGGGGGGGGCTTGGGGCCGGTGAGATCAGATGACCAGCTGGGAAGCAGGGGGGGCTCGGGGCTGGAGCGAGGGAGCAGGCAGAGCCCACCTGGGTGCAGGGGAGACTGGGATGCGCTGTACGGAGGGAGGCCAGGCCTGAGGGGTCTGAGAGTTTCCTGTGCTGGGTTCAGATGCTCAATAAACCCTCCTGTGTTACGCTGGCTGAGAGTCGCTCCGGGCTAGAGATCAGGGGGGCATTATTCCCTCTGGGAGTGGAGGCCCTGGGGGTCCAGAGCGAGTGGACTCCCTGCGGGAGCCCCTGGCAGAGACAGGCATGCTAAGGTCGGAGAGGTGCGGCTCCAGGAGGTGGAGGGGCCTAACCCCCGAGAGAAAGTGGACCCCCGAGAAGGGACGTCGCACTGAAGGGGTTTCCCCCAGGGACCGCACAGGGACAAGAGTGGGCACCCCCTGGGAGTCCGTGACAGAGAGGCAGAGGCAGGTGTGGAGGAACAGCTGGGAGCAGCACCGGGGGGGGGGGGGGTCACTGCTTTCTGGGGGTGGAGGGGGCGTGGTGTGACTCCAACTGTTTTGGGGTTGTGCCCCTCCACTCTCAGCAGACCCAGGTCACCTCTGAGGAGTCCTGGTTCCCAACCCCCTCTCCCCTCCGAGAGCCGGGGACAGAACCCAGGAGTCCTGTGACCCAGGCAGGTCGACCGGTAGGGAGAGGACCCGGGGTTCCTACCTGCTGGGTCTCGGTGCGGCTCCTTTTCCTGCAGAGGGACAAAAACCAGAATCCCCCATGAGCCGATCGGGATCCCTCGGTCCCAGCGCCCAGCCACTCACCCCCCACAGGGCAGCAGGGATGTGGGCCCCCTCTGCTTCTGGGTCTGAGCCTGGATCCCTGCTCGGGGCGGGGGCACGGACCAGCAGGGGGCAGCGTAACACCAGAGCATGCGCTAGGGGTGGGCAGATTAACTCGGGGGGGGGGCTTTTCCTGTCCCCAATCCTCCCTCGTTAGTGACTCCTTATAACGAACCTGATCCACAGGCCGATCAGCTCCCCTGGCATCCTAGTTACCTGAGAGGCACGGTGCCAATGGCTCGTTGTTCGGGACCTCTCGCTCAGCACTGAAATGCAGCCACCTCTGGGGTGGGACAGCTGCGTGTGTACGGGGGTTACACATGTAACAGCGCCTTCTGCTGCACCCCCCTGCTCCTGGGATTTCCCGGCACCATCCCTCTCCAAACCGTGGCCACATCCCGCCCTGCTTAGCGGCAGGTTTAACCCTTCCCTCGCTGGGCAGGACACTTACTGGCTCGGGTTTTTCTGAAGCAGACGAAGGCCACGAGGAGGAGGAGGAGGAGGAGGAGGAGGCCGGCGGCTGCCGCGCTCGCCCCGGCGATGATGAGGGTGGTCAGACCTGGAGCTGCTGGCGATTCCGATCCGTGTGGGAAAGAGCAGCAGGCCGTGAGTGCCGGGAGGGGCTGGTCTGTTCCCACCCCCAGCCCCTCCCACCCCAGGCGGCGCCCAAGGGGCTGGGACTCCGCAGGGCAGAGGGAGCTGAAAATTCTATGGGGAGGATGTCGGGGGCCCCAGGGCATCAAGTGGGGTCAGAGCAAGCAAGATTTGGCGGATTGGTAGCGCTAGGGGGCGCTGGGCTGCAGGGGGTGGAGGGCTCCATAGGGGGCGCTCTCCCCATCAGTCAGGCCTGGCCTCATTGCCCCGGCACGGCGCTAGGGGGCGCTGTCTGGCCGTCATTTCTGTGGCAGTTCACCCCCTTTCTCATGGCCACACCGACCCAGGCCAATGGGCCCATCTAGCCCGGTATCCCGCCTCCCATGCTGGCTGCTTCGTGGGGGGCTCCAGGTCACCGTGCCCCCACGGCTACTGATGGGCCCAGCCTCTGGCTGCCCCGTTAGCGGCGGGTTCGTGTCTGAGCAGGAGGCTTCGCTCCCCTCCCAAATCGGTTGGTGGGGGAGGGGGGAGTCACTGCCCCTGAGAACAGACTCCATCCCCACCCCTGGGCAACCAGTGAGGGAAGCTGCCCCATAATCTGTGACTCAGTAGATTCCCCGCCGGCCCCAGTACCTGGCCCCGCGCTGCCCGGTTGGGTGGGAGCCGGCGCCGCTCCAGGCAGGGTCAGGTTGATTCCCCCTGCGGGAATAAAACCAGCGTCTGTCGGGGTACGGGGTGGGGCTGAAACACCGACTCAGAGATCGCCCCCCACCCTCCGCGACCAGTGGTGGATCAGCCACTGGGCCTACGGGGCTCGTGCCCAGGGGCCCCAGGAAAGTGGGGGGCCCCAGAGCCCTGGCCCCCGGGCCAACAGGATGGGGGAAGGCCAAGCACCTCGACCCTGGTCCCCTGCAGAAGCACAGTGGGGGAGGCAGGGGAAGCCTTAACACCAGGACCTCCGCTGCGGCCCTAGGACGGGAGGAGCTCTGGCTACCTGCCACGGCCTCAGGACTGGGGGAGCCCTCACTCCCCGCTGCGCCACGGGGCCGGGGCATGGGGACAGAGCTTCTCCGGTCTTGGGGCTACTTTTGTACACCTCAATGCGCTCCCATCACACAGAGTCTGTGGCTGCGCCAGGAGCTGGGCCAGATCTCCTGGGTCCCAGCCCAGCAACGTGTCCAACAAGCCACCGCTTCTCCTGCAGCCCCTGCCTCATTCAGCCCTGGCCCGGGCCTAGAGAACAGAGGGGATGCCATCATGGGATTAAATAGCGACTCACGGTTCCTACGCACAAGGAGCAGCGTTAAAGTCGCCTCCCTGCCCCCAGCCTCCAGGGGCTGCTGCTCCCCACTGGCTGGGGAACCCCCCAGTGACTCCGTCCCCGCTCCCCGGCTGGGCGTCCCCACTGCGGGGTCAGGGCTCAGGGCACAGCCTGGCTCTGAGGGTCCCATTGGCACCGAGCCCCCGTGAGGGTCTGGCTGGGGGTGGGGCTGGGAACGGGGACGCCGAGCCGGGCCCCTCACCTCTCACCGCCAGCTCCACGGGGTCGCTGGGGGACGACGCGACGGCTGACCCCGATCTGCTGTGATAGGAGCAGCTGTATCTCCCGCCGTGCTCCCGGCTCACGTTGCTGATGAAAAACACAGCCCCAGACCCGCTCGAATCCACAGCTGGGAAATGGCGTCCCTCTTTGTTCAGCACGAACCGCACGCCCTGGCGCTGCCCCCAACACCAGACGGACACGGCTCCCCCCAGGGAGACCCCCCCGCTGGGGCTCAGGGAGATGTTGGGTTTGGGGTAGCTGGGCTCTGCAGGGGGAAGCAGACAGGCCGTGAGACGCAGGCCCCGTCACCCAGTCCTGGGGCCTGTCCTCACCACGCGGCCTCCGTGGGGGGTCAGACCCGGCAGCCCTGGGGACGGGCTCCTGGATGCCTTTCCACAGGGGCCCAGAGTTTCCTCTGAGCCCTGGGCTAACAGCATGAGACACGGAGCAACCCCAGCCCCTGGGGGCCAGAGCTCTGCTCCCTAGCGGGTGACAGGCCAGTCCAGCCTCTAGGGTCCATTCACGCCCTGGCTTCTCTGCTGGGAGGGCTGGGAGCCAGGACTCCTGGGTTCTCTCCCCAGCTCTAGGAGGGGAATGGGGTCTAGTCAGTGAGAGCAGGGCGGATGGGGGCCAGGACTCCTGGGTTCTATGCTCAGTACCACCACTGACTTGTAGGGGACTGTGCAAGTCTCTACTATCCACTGAGGTTTATAACCTTCAGCTCCGCCCATCACCCCGTAACTGATGTGTTACCTGGAAAAAGCCCCCCTGCTCTGCAGCTCCCCCTGGAGGCAGGGATCCCCTCTTCCTCTGCCCCAGATCTCCAGTGGCTGCTTCTCCTCCCTGGCTGGGAACCTGCCAGTGACTCCATCCCCGGCTCCCCACGTCCGCTCTGCTGGGCCCAGGGCTCAGGGCAGAGCCTGGCTCTGAGTGTCCCATTGGTGCAGAGACCCCGAGGGTCTGGCTGGGTTTGGGGCTGGGAGCCGGGCCGCTGAGCCGGGCCCCTCCCTCACCTCCTACAATGATCTCAACGGGGTCGCTGGGATATGAGCAGCGATTCTGATCCGTTATGGAGCAATAGTCACAGGTGTAGGTCCCTCCATCTTCCCAGCCGACACTGGGGATGGGAAATTCAGCCACGGTCCCAACAGGCACCGTCTGCAGCTGCCGGTCAGGGTGTCCAGCTTTACGCAGAAAGAACTCCCAGCCCGGGTATGAACCCTCACAGCGGATGGTGACGCTTCCCCCGAGCGCCACCACCCGGCTGGGGCTCACCCAGACAGTGGGTTTGAGAAATTCACGCCCTGCTTTCAAGAAGAGACAGGAGTTAAACAGGAGAGACACAGCCCCCCACCCCCCACCCCAACTGAGTCCATCCGTCATTCAGCTTCTCTAGGAGTCTGTCCTCTACGAGGGTTGGCACTGCCTGCCCATGGGGCCTGGGGGCAGGGGGTTCACCCATACGTAGCTCAGGACCTGGCTGCATAAGAGATCACCGCCCCACCCCCACCCCCCGGCCCCACCTGAGGCCAGCCAGGGAGCCTGACCAGTGGGACCCCTGCAGCTCTGCCCCCCACCCCGGGGTTGGAAATAGAGTCTGTGACCAGTGGGAGTCACACAAGACCCACCTTTCCCCAGTCCTTGGGAACGCGGGGGGCTGTGAGTGCAGGGGAGGGAGCTGTTGGGGGTGGATCTGGGGTGGGGGTGGATCTGGGGGGTTCTTCCCCACGGCTGCACTGACTGTGAACATTTTGGTTACCCTGAGGGGATCTAGAGCCCACAGATGGGCCCTATTAGCGTTTGTATGAGCTGAAATAAATCCACGTGCCGCCCCCCCTCCCCACGATCCTCACAGCCTGTGGGGGCAGGACATTGAACCAGGGGACGGTTCCCGTCTGCTTCATCAGACCCCGGAAGCAAGATTTGGCTCCTAGTTACTCCATGGGGTCAGGCCGGGGGGGGGGGGGCTTCGGCACAGGAGAAGGGCGCTGGGTCTTAGCTCACAGGGGGAATTTGGGTTGAATCTGGGGGAAGGTTCAGGGCTTAGTTCCTCTTTTCCCCACCCCACCTCCCTCCCCATCCTTGATGTTACTGTCCTCCCTTCAGACTGATACTCACCTCCCCACGCCCCGCTGTGACCGGCCAGCCAGCAGCCTGGAGAGGAGACGGCTCGTTAGTGACCAGATCCCAGAGCAACTGGATCCTACACCCTGGTCTCAGATCCACCGCCCCCAACCCCCATGGGCACACGCCCTGGTCTCAGATCCCCACCCCCACCATGGGCACATGCCCTGGTCTCAGATCCCCACCCCCCTCATGGGCACATGCCCTGGTTTCAGATCCCCACCATGGGCACATGCCCTGGCTGTCTCCGAAACTCACCGAAGAAGAGGACGGTGAGAGCAGACGCCATGACGGGGCAGTGGGGGCCCTCAGCGCTGCCACCAACACCCCGGAGTTGAGCTCCACTGAGCCTGAGGCCCGAGTGTGAGCAGAATGAGGAACTGCGCCGGGGGCTGCAGCCCCAGGAAGCCAGTGATGCGCTCGGCCCCTTTCTTCCCATCAGATGGTTTCTCTGCAATCTCCAGCCCATATCTACCACAGTCAGAGCAAAGCCAGCTCCCTGCCACGCCCAGCAAACCACATCCCCTCTGTGACGAAGTGGGACTGTTCTTAATGTTTCCTCTGAATAGTGTGGGGGTGCCTCAGTTTCCCCTACGCAGTTCTTAAGTATCTAGGGGGTGGGATAAGGGTGTATGATCATTGCAGAGCCCTAGAGGGCAGGTGTGTGCAGGGGTCTGGACACAGAGAATGGCCGACACCCTGTTTCCTGGCAACTGATGGCCTGGGCCCTTCCCCCCTGCCAGGTGAGAGCTAAAGGGTTGGAGAACAAAGGACTCAGGTGCCCTCCTGGCCCGGGAAAGGGACAAAGCCCAGAGGAGGAGGGTCTGGAAGGAGTTTCAGTTTGGGGCTGGTTGGAGACATGGAGTGAAGGGCAGACATGGTTGTCTGGCTCACTGCCCCCCAAAATGGACCCAGCTAAGGGGTCCAGTTCTCTGCACCTACAAGCTCTGTTTTAGACCATGTTCCTGTCGCGTCTAATAACCTCTGTTTTACTGGCTGTCTGAGAGTCACATCTGACTGCGGAGTTGGGGGGCAGGACCCTCTGGCTTCCCCAGGAGCCCCACCTGAGCGGACTCACTGTGAGAAGCGCACAGAGGGGCAGAGGAGGCTGAATGCTCCGAGGTCAGACCCAGGAAGGTGGAGCCGGGAGAGCTGTGTGTCCTGCAGACAGGCTGCTCCCAGAGAGGAGACTTCCCCAGAGTCCTGCCTGGCTTCATGGGGAGCAGATCCAGAGCATCGCCCAGGGACTCCGTGACACCCTCCTGCAGCTGCCTGGTCCCCCCACCCACCCCATCACCTCCCAGCCCCACATGGGAGCTGCCCGGTCTAGGGACCAGCTGGGAACGGAGGAATCTCAGAAGGTGTCAAGAGGTGCCCAGGCTGCCCTGAGCTTTTCCAACAAACCCATCCAACCTCCCTGGAGCAGCAGCCCAGAGCAGGAGAGGGATCTGGCCCCCGTGAGCGGGGGAGGGAGGGGTAAATGTAGATCCTGAGTTGTTAAAGGAGCCCCCGATAAATCCGCGAAAGGGGAAGTCTGCCCAGAGCCGGTGCTCGAATCCTGTTTCCGCTACTGCCAATGAAACTCTGTGTGAACCTGATGGCCGGCACCTGCCCTGTTATATACCCCAGCTCTGGCAGGGGAGTGGGGTCTAGTGATTGCAGGCTGGGGGTGCCTGGGAGCCAGGACTCCTGGGTTCTCTCCCTGGCTCTGGTTCAAAGGTGGGGTCTGTTGCTTTGAGAAAAGGACAGAGATTAGAGCTGGTGAAAGGCCCCGTGTCCCTTCCCCAGCCCATCCCCGGGGCAGTGGGTCTGCACAGATCAGGGATCGGGGCAGAGCTCACAGGAAGGGTAGGAGGCAAGAACACAGGGACAGAGCTCAAGAGAAACTGCCCCCCCTCTGGCAGCTCTGGCTCCCCAGCTCCTTTGCCCTTCACCCCCCACCCCCGACGTTCACCCATTGGGCCCCGCAGCCCCCCGATCTGCCCCCTGGCCTGCGTCCCCTCCCCCATTCTCTCCCCACATTCTGTAGTTCCTTCATGTCCTCCACATCAGGTCCCATCCCCCCAGTTCTGCCCCCGTCCCATGTCCCTTCACCCCCCCTTTGTGTAGTCTCATGCCCCCGTTGCCTCCCCCATTCTGCCCACCCCATCCCCTACCCCTCACACCCCCCGACCTCCATTAGGGAATGCGGGGCAGAGGGGGGTGTAGGGGCAGGAGACTGAGGGGAAAGAAATTGGGGGATCCAGGACTGAGGGCCCAGAAGCAGGAGCGGGGCAGTGAGAGGGGAAGCTGCCGAGGGATGGAAATGGCAGCTCCGTCCTGGGGGCACCATCTGCCCCCTCCCCCCTCACACCCCCAAACAATCCTATCCCCCGGCTCTGACCTTTGGGGGGAGCCTGTCTGCCCTCAAACTCCTGTCCCCCATCCCAACCCCTCTCCCTTCAACTCCCCACCCGACACCCCCAACCTAGTTCCCCCAAACTCCTGGGTCCCCCCAGCTGGCTCCCCCCAAACACCCACCATGGAGAGCACCAGAAGAGCAGGCAGCTAAATTCCTCTGGGCCCTGTTGTGTTCATGGAGACGCAATAAAGGGCCCAAGGTGCGAACACGCCCCAGCCCCTGCCCCACACTGAACAGGGTTAAACGCGGGCCGAGGCCAGGGTCCAGAGCCCACAGCCTGCTCAGCCCCACGGCAAACCCCCAGTGACCCCTGGGACTGGCTGTGACAGACCCAGCTGTGACGAAGTGGGACTGTTCTTGGTGTTTCCTCCGAGTGGTGTGGGGGTGCCTCGGTTTCCCCTGGGCAGTTCTTGGGTGTCTAGGTGGTGGGGTAAGGGTGTATGATCATTGCAGAGCCCTAGAGGGCAGGTGTGTGCAGGGGTCTGGACACAGAGAATGGCCGACACCCTGTTTCCTGGCAACTGATGGCCTGGGCCCTTCCCCCCTGCCAGGTGAGAGCTAAAGGGTTGGAGAACAAAGGACTCAGGTGCCCTCCTGGCCCGGGAAAGGGACAAAGCCCAGAGGAGGAGGGTCTGGAAGGAGTTTCAGTTTGGGGCTGGTTGGAGACACGGAGTGAAGGGCAGACGTGGTTGTCTGGCTCACTGCCCCCCAAAATGGACCCAGCTGAGGGGTCCTGTTCTCTGCACCTGCAAGTTCTGTTTTAGACCATGTTCCTGTCGTCTAATAAACCTCTGTTTTTCTGGCTGGCTGAGAGTCACGTCTGACTGCGGAGTTGGGGTGCAGGACCCTCTGGCTTCCCCAGGATCCCTGCCTGAGCGGACTCGCTGGGGGAAGCGCACGGAGGGGCAGAGGATGCTGAATGCTCCGAGGTCAGACCCAGGAAGGTGGAGCCGGGTGAGCTGTGTGTCCTGAAGACAGGCTGCTCACAGAAAGGCGACTGCCCCAGAGTCCTGACTGGCTTCATGGGGAGCAGTTCCAGAGCATCGCCCAGGGACTCCGTGACACCAGCAGAGCAGGAACCAGGGAGCCGTGGCAGGCGCCGTGTGAAACGAGGGGTTTGTTCCAGCCCCGGCCCCGTTCGCTGGAGCAGGTTTCTAGCCGGAAAATCCCCCAGGTTTGGGCGTCTCCCCGCTTGCCCCGGAGATGCTAGCGACTGTCCTGGGGGGCAGAGGAGCCGGCGCAGCTGGGCTGAAGCCGGCGTCGCCGCGGCTGCTGTGAAAGTCCGACCCCATTTCCTCCCGGGTTGGGGGTTCAGCCGGGGGAGGGGCGATGGCGTCGGGGTCCCTCTCTCCGGCCGCTCTGCTCAGGATGTCTCCGCGGAGACCTGTTAAAAAACAGAGACAGTTCTTTATTTCTGAATGTGCAGGAATTTGTCTGTTGAGATGGCTGACAAGTGAATCAATTATGGTGTAGAATGATTCAACGTTGAACTTCGCTTCCCCTGTCAGCAGGTTCTTCGCTATCACCAGCCGCACACTTTGGCTGACGTTGCCGCTTTGCCTGAAAGTTAGCTGGAGAACGTAAAGAGATTGCAGCTTCCTGGTATTCCTCAACACTATCCGCTGTGATGCCACAAACTCAGCGAGCGTCGCCGAAGTCCCTTGCTTCAGACCGCAGAAGCTGACTTGTTTTCTTTACTCTTGTAAGAACTCTACTCCAAAACGTTGTCATAAATGCGGTCTCCGACCGATCCCTGGTTTCCACTCTTGAGTTTGCCTCTGCTCGTTTTTCACTGTTCTGCACAGGGTCTGCACCAAAAGCCCGAAGCACGGGTTTATAGCTTTTGTAGTTGCATGATAAACTGCGAAGTGCATCTGCTCGAGCTGACCACCTTGTGCCACCCAGGCGCTCTGGGAGAAGTTCTCTCTTACTGGCCTCGGATGTCTCCTCTTTCAGAGAATCTCACAACAGGCCCCAGCGATAAGTTGAACCTGAGAAAAAAACATACAGTTTTTGGACAAATCCATCAGAGCATGACTCTGCATCAGCAACACCACATAGATTTAGTGAGGGGGGTGTGAAAGTAGAATGAATTATAGTGAAATTATAATTCATTAAAGAAATGCGACTTGAAGGGTTTGTTGAAATATAGCTGTCAGGAAGAGAAACATTAAGGAATGTGAGACAATGGGTCCTCAAACTAATTAACTTAGAGCTCCTACTGAGCTAGGAGATTGGTAAATGTTAGTATGCAAATAAGATATTTGTCAGTTTCTGCTTCCTTTTGTCTCTTATGTTAAATTGGCTTTGGCTTAGCTGTATAAATAAGTTAGCATGAGCCTCAGAGAGGGACTCACATCTGGGTGCACTGGCAAAGCGCTTTGCTAATTGTCATAAATATAAAGGGAAGGGTAAACCCCTTTGAAATCCCTCCTGGCCAGGGGAAAGCTCCTCTCACCTGTAAAGGGTTAAGAAGCTAAAGGTAACCTCGCTGGCACCTGACCAAAATGACCAATGAGGAGACAAGATACTTTCAAAAGCTGGGAGGAGGGAGAGAAACAAAGGGTCTGTCTGTCTGTCTATATGCTGGTCTTTACCGGGGATAGACCAGGAATGGAGTCTTAGAACTTTTAGTAAGTAATCTAGCTAGGTATGTGTTAGATTATGATTTCTTTAAATGGCTGAGAAAAGAATTGTGCTGAATAGAATAACTATTTCTGTCTGTGTATCTTTTTTGTAACTTAAAGTTTTGCCTAGAGGGGTTCTCTATGTTTTTGAATCTAATTACCCTGCAAGATATCTACCATCCTGATTTTGCAGGGGGGATTTCTTCATTTCTATTTACTTCTATTTTATTAAAAGTCTTCTTGTAAGAAACTGAATGCTTTTTCATTGTTCTTAGATCCAAGGGTTTGGGTCTGTGGTCACCTATGCAAATTGGTGAGGCTTTTTATCCAACATTTCCCAGGAAAG